CCTATAAACCCTAAACCCGAACCCCCGAATCTCCAACAGCTGCTGCGGCATTCAGTGGAGCACTGGCACTCTAATTTCGTTCTTCTGGCCCTCTGCCCTTCCCCGGGATCTGCTGTGATGAAGTTAAAAACACCTTTAGGGTTTAGGGTTTAGGGTTTAGGGTGAAGTTAAAAACACCTATATCCTAGGCGTCTGAGTAGCCCCTTTACAAAAAAGGGTACCCTTTTTCCTACTGTTCGGTTGGAATAAGGGGACCCCAAAATAGAAAGGGCAAAAGGGTACTACTCAGGAACCTAGTGCTGAAAGACAGCCCTCAACCCGCCAAATGGCTTGAAAAGCCAAACCCAAAACAAAAAACGCGGAAGCGCTGACAAGAAACCCGTAAACCCTAAGCACCAGACCCTCAGCCCTAAACCCGAAACCCAAGCTTGAGGCGTGGGGGTTGCCGGACGTTGGAATCGAGAAGCCCTGCCCCTGAAGGGACGAAGGTTGAATCCGTTTTAGGGCTTTGGGTTTAGAACTTTGTGGAGTCTAGGGCTTAATAGTTTAAGGTTTAGGGTTTATGGTTTATGACTTAAGGTTCAGAGTTTATGGATCAAGGTTTAGGGTTCAGGGGTAGACTCTGAAAGCCCAAACACAAAAAGGGGGACCCGATAGTGAACCCCAGAAAGTTGGTACATGGATTTTGGCGGATTAGTGCTCGGATCCTTTATGCTTTACCCTAAGGGCACGAAGATCATAATGTTCCAACTTTCTGGCCTCTACCCTAAACCCTAAACCCTAAACCCAAAGCCCTAAACCCTAAACCCTAAGCCCAGTGAGCAATGCGCATGGAACCTCTCCCTCAGCTTCCCCCCATTTCCCAGGCTCAGCCCCAGGCAGCAGACCTGGAAACGAATGAAGGTTTGAGGTTTGGGGATGTAGGGTTTAGGGTTTAGGGTGCAGGGTGTAGGGTTTAGGGTTTACAGTAGGGTCTAGGGTTTAGGGTTTTTGGGTTTAAGGGTTTAAGGCACTAAACCCTAAACCCTAGGGTGTAGATGTAGGGTTTATTGCTTTTGAGTCGAGGGCTTGGGCTTTAGCAGAAAGCTGTCGCGTGTCTTTGGGATTTGCTGGCTGTACTTTAAAAAGGCCAGTGAACTCGCACTGGATGCACAAGACTCTGACATTTCTCCGCGAAACGGAGGAGAGGATGCAATAAATTAAATGATTCTTCTATGGTTCAGCAGATGATATAGTCGAAATACTCTTACAGACGCTTACAGATGCTCTCGGCTCAATCGTAGTGGCCACTGATACCACGACTGCCTGCTCCCTCCTCCTCCTCCTCTTCCTCCTTCAGCTACTCCTCAAGCGTAGTATCAATAGTACTACTCGAAGTCGTGGTCCCAGTAAGACGAACAGGGTCTTTGTTGCCCCAGTAAAAGCTGCCAATGTACTTCCACGACTTCCACTACGGGGCTCGGATCGCAAACAATCCGCTGAAGTCCCAAATTTCTCGAAACTTTCCACCTGAAACCCCAAATAAATGTCAAATCCCTAAAGCCTCAACCGTCAAAGCCCTGCTACATCCGAACCCGACAGTCTCCCAGGCAGCTGAAGCTCAGATCTCTGGAAACCGTAAGGTTTAGGGGCATGTACTCACAAAGTATGTACTTTGGCCCTAAAGTATGTACTTAAAAAGGCACGGAAAAGGGATACGCAAAGGTTCAAGGTTTCCCCAGCCAGGATGCACTCAACCCGCTGCCATAAACCCTAAATCCGACGCCGAGACAGTAAACCCTCTGAGAAGCCAGCAGAAGGTGAAGAACACTGAACGCGTGGCAACCCCCAATGCCTGCCGAAGAGGGCTTTTGCTCTGGGCTTTTAATCACCTTCTGGGCTTAACGTCGAAAATTCCGTGCCTGAAAAAACAAGAACAAGTTTTTCGGGTTTCTTGATGTATGTGCATGCATACAGATTCTTGGATGATACGGTCCAGGGTTTAGGGCTTTTCGGGTTTAGGGCTTAGGGCTCTTCTCAGTAACCTGGCGTTAAATGTGTTGTGGCAGCTCTGGGAGTGCTATCAGCCTGAAATACCTCCATGGGGTTTAGGGTTTAGGGTTCCTGAAAGTGTTGCGGTGCCGACGCCCACAATCTCCACAAATCCCCTCAACTTTCATGAAACCTTGCAGAGCTCTTCACATGAACAGTTTCCTTCAAGAACTTTGATGTTGCTATACACTGCAAGGACCCCATGACCCAAACAAGATGCTCTGACCCTGAACCTGCTTTCCTCAAGAAACACGAAAGCTAGATGTATACTAAAGCTAGATGTATCAACAGCGGTGCAAGAAAGCACAGTGCGTACTACCAGACTAGCAATGACTCGGGGTAGCACCAACAATCAATGCTGATGATGGGATGAGTAATACTCTTGACTCATTATCAGGAGCAACAAGAACAACCATAATCATAAGCTCCTAAAACCTTGGACCGCAACTTTCACCTTAAACCTAAAGCCGAAATTACAAATCTGGGTAAAAAAAACAAAACTCCAATCCCAAACCCTCAACCGCCCCCCTCACCAAAAAAAAGGAACAAAAAGAAGACGCTAAACCCTCACCAAAACGGAACAAAAAGAAGACGATGCCTTCACCAGGATGAGGAGCTCCGGGAGAGCGCGAAGGATGCGAACGATCCGCGCCACGCGCGAAACGCGGAGCACCCTGGGGTGGTTGGAAGGCTGCCAGACCCAGTTGAAAAGGCTAGCCTTCATAGTTAGAATGAAGGACTATAAGACTATAAGCGGGTCCTTCATGTAGTTAGAACTAAGGACTCTAAGACTAGAAGGGGGTCGGGTTTGAATTGTTATTCCAACCTCCAGACTAGTTTTCAGGCCGTTTAGGGATTCGGTTGTCGCATTCCATGGGGCTTTTTGCAGGTGTCGGTCGAATCTGTTTGAGAGTTTATAATCGCACAGAAGGCTTCTTCTCGAGGGTTTAGGGTTTAGGGTTTAGGGTTTAGGGTGGAGACACTTCGGTGACAACATGTGACAACCCATGTCGAATCGAAACATCAGTTACTTACTGGCCGCGCCTTTCGGGACTCTGACAGTTCATGGCCTCAGCCCCACCCCCTCCCGAAAGCCCTTCACTCTGATCTCTTCTTCAACAACCAGGCCCAAAAAAGTTCAAACTTTTTAGGATAGACCTAATAAATTAAGGCCAAAAAGTTTAAAGTTCTTCATTTGGTGATCTAAGTCCGATCCTTGTTTTTTGGATCCCAAGCCTTCGCGACATAAGCTCTCTCACATGCACGCACACTTCTCGTGCCTGAGTAGGCGCAGCGACGACTGATCGACGAGGGTAAAGTCTACTTCGGCGAACTGCAGAATCCTGGTGAGTGAGCGCCATCTTGGGCGTGGGGGTTTTGGTTTAGGGTTTAGGGTTCAGGGTTTAGGGTGAGTCTTGGAGGGTTCATAGGGCTCATTGGGTTTAGGGTTTAGGGTTTAGAGTTTGGGGCTCATAGGGTTTAGGGTTGACGGTTTAGGGCTCATAGGGTTTAGGGTTTAGGGTTCACAGGACTAAGGGTTTTGAGGGCTCGGGCTCGGGTCAGTGTTGCAGCATTTTCCGGACTCTTTTGAAGATTCGGATTCCGGCTTTCAACAATTACGTAAGACTGTGGCTTGGCTTTTGAAGTGATTGTGGCTTGGCTTTTGAAGTGCTGGGTTCTGGCTTCCCATTACTCTTGGAGATTTAGCACTTCTGATTGTTTCAGCTTGCGGCAGGTTTGTAGTGGAAGCCGCAGGTCTGTGACGAGCAGATAGTATTTGACCTCCGAATCTTCATCTGGCTGCGACTTTTCGATCAGACTGTGCAAATTTGGCTGAGTTCCCCCTTAAGTCCCCCTAAACCCTAAACCGTAAACTCTTTCCTAGAAGCCTAATGTAGAGGCCTTAATAATTAGAATAGGGGTTTTGTGGGCTCCTTATTGGAACTATAGTATAATATACCCCCCAAACCTGTTCTAATTATTAAGGCCCCTATATTACCTAGCAGCCTCGAGCTGTCTGGCTGCCTGAGCCGAAATGAGCTTCCTAATCATCAAAGCTGCCTGTGGGTTTAGGGTTTAGGGTATGAACCTGACCTAACTCTAAACACTGAAACCACCCTAAACCCAAACCCTAAACCCTAAACCCTAAACCCCCAAACTGAAACCTCAACCCCACACCCCAAAGCCCGAATCTAAAGCAATACAACCACTGCTACCAGCAAGCCCTCTCTTGGTGGAGCTTGAAAAAGCCGCATAAAATCCATGTAAAACCCTGATGCCTTAGGTACCCTAAGCCCTCAGCCCTAAACCCGGAGGACCCCCCGTCAGGAGCCAACTTCCACGAAGAACAAGTGTACTACAGAAGCATACATTATTAGCTAGATTATTCCTCAGGGTGCCCAAATAAGTATAAGTATACTACAACAAACAAACACGCCTTTAGGCCAAGTTGCACGAAGAAGATCCACGTCTCCAACATCATCCCGAGGACGAGGACCGAATCGATGATTATCCAGGGGTCCTTAGGGTCTAGGAGCTTCTGGCCTAGAGGGTTTAGACAGGGCTTGCCTGCTCTTACGTCTTTATCAGTAACCCAAAGGGTCCAAGTACCATTGTAGTAGGTACTTAGTAGGTATTTGGGCCCCAAACCCAAACCCTAAACCCTAAACCCTAAACCCTAAACCCAAAAGTATATACTAGACTACTACTTGGACCCTTTGGGTAACACTGCTTATTGTCTGTGCAGGAAGCAATTGGGAGCCAAAGGCTTAGACCCCAAACCCTATTTAAACCAGAGGTTTAGGATAAATTGAAGGGTTGACCTAAGCCCTAAACCCTAAACCCTAAACCCAAAACCCTAAACCCTAAACCCTAAACTTCAAGGCTTAGGGCCTGAGCTCTTCCCCTATCTGCAGCTACTGGCCGCCGCGAATCTCCTAGGCCGGCCGAGGCTTCAAAGGTACCTCCACGAGTGATCTAGTGTATAGGGTTTAGGGTTTAGGGTTTAGGGTTTAGGGTCTTGGCTTTAGGGTTTAGGGTTTAGGGTTTAGGGTTTTGGCTTTAGGGTTTGGGGTGTAGG